CCAGGTGAGCGACTGCAGAGGAGACAGTGGGGAGGCGGTGCAGCTTGTTGACTGCTGTTGCCTGTTTGCGCGCGGGCGGACAGGCGAGGGAGTGGGCAGTTGGACCGGCAGCGGTGATAGAGGGCGCCGCCATTTCCCCCACTCTGACCACGCCCCCACATACAACGTCACAACTCAGCGACCTGAGAGTCCAAGGAGCCGCTTCTCACATTTAAAGAGCCAGAACAGACCAAAAATGTCGCAGGAAGACCTCAAAGCCCCAGAGATAAATCTAAGCGATGAAGAAATAACAAAACTCTCAGACGCACAGTTTAAAACACTGGTCATCAGGATCCTCACAGATCTAGTTGATTATAGCCACAAATTAGAGAAACATATGAAGGCTAAACTAATGGAAATGAATGGAATTGCACAGGAAACCCATAGCGATGAAAAGGAAACTGGGACTCAAATCAATGGAGTGGACCAGAAGAAAGCAAATAATGGCCAAACAGAAAAGAGTCAAGGAGCAAGAATTCAAAGAAATGAGGAGAGTCTTAGGAACCTCCAGGACATCTTTAAACGCTCCAATATCCGAATTATAGGGGTACCAGAAGGGGGAAAGGAACAGCCACCAGTGGAAAACTTATTTGAACAAATAATAAAAGAAAATTTCCCCAATCTGGCAAAGGAAATAGACTTCCAAGAAATCCAAGAAGCTCAGAGAGTACCAAAAAAGTTGGACTCAAGAAGAAACACACCAAGGCACATCATAATTACATTAGCCAAAATTAAAATGAAGGAGAGAATCCTAGAAGCAGCAAGAGCTAAGGGGACAATCACCTACAAAGGAGTCCCCATCAGACTGTCAGCAGATTTCTCAAAAGAGACCTTACAGGCAAGAAGGGGCTGGAAAGAAATATTCCAAGTCATGAAATCTAAAGACCTACAACCAAGATTGCTCTATCCAGCAAAACTAAAATTCATTTAGAATGGAAGGACGAAAAGTGCTTCTAGGTAAAGTATTCCGGGGGGTCCACCGCCTGAAAAATGTGGAACTTTTCAAGAAAGATATTAAAAAAAAAAAAAAAACACACTCAAAATTATTACCACACCCCCAAGCCAAAAAGCGGGGTGGGGCGGGGGGGGGGGGGGGGGGGGGGGGGGGGGGGTGGGTCGGGGGGGGGGGGGGGGGGGGGGGGGGGGGGGGGGGGGGGGGGGGGGGGATCAATACAACACTTAATTTATTTTAAAATATTATAAATAATATAATTTATTTTAAAACTTGTGACATCTGTTTTTAAGTATTTGAGGTTAATTATTAAGTAGTTGTCTCATATTCTATCAATAACTTTTATGTGTTTTATTTGGGGAGAAACACGTTCTCTTGTAGACATTTCAGTTTTGACAGTGTGGAAACTAAAATCTTTAAGATCCCACTTTAGAAGAACTTACCCTGGAGCAAGGGCTCCAGGCTCAATCATATTTTCCATTTGCTTCTGAAGACTCCCCGAGGTGGGGTACAGTGGCCATATTTTTCTTACACTATTATTGTTAAATCACAAGGAGAGGGTGGATTATACCACAAGTGGTACTGTGACAACTGGACAGTTATTTGGAGGGGAAAACAGCTACATCCTTGCCTTACATCTAACACCCCAACACTAAAGTCAGCTCCGAGCGGGTTGAAGACTTGAATGTTAAGAGAGAGAGCAGAACCATCTGAAGTATAAGAAGGTACTTAAGCTTCAGAAAGGCACACCACTGGCAATTCATAGGTAATTCTTACTGAACTATCTACAAAGATGCACACGTAGAAAAAGACAACTATGAATACTGACAGGTGAAGCCTGATGACTTAGTGATAACACATAATAGAAGTCAAGTTCAATTTTATGGCAGGTGCAGCTGGACCAGCACAGAGGGGCCCCTGTGGCCCTCTGCTCATGATAGAGACCCACTATTAAAAAGGGATGAAGAAGACTTGTGTTTTGACCAGAGGCCCAGGGACTCAGTAAACTAGGCAGATGGCTCTCTAGAGTCCCAGAGAACTTCAGAAATGTATCATTCTACAGACAGCACCCAGAGTAATTAAATCAGGCTAGTTAGGGGAGACACCCAAGCACTGGTGTGTCTTTAAAAACTCCCAAGGTGGTTTTGACGTGTAGCCAGACGGATGGCCAGTCATCCACGTTCATTTCTCAGGGGCTATTCTATAGGGAAGCTGGGGAGATCAGGAGATTCCCCCCCCCCCCCCCCCCCCCCGCCGTTTCGGCCACCCTGCGTCACTGTGACATTTCTTCCCCTCCTCACAGTCTGTAATTTCCCTCTTTATGGTTTCTTCTCCTACCATTTTGATTGCTCTTTTCCAGGTTTCAATATTACCTTCTTACTTCTGCCTGCCCCTTAAATATTGGTCTTTCCAGAGCTTGGTATCTTGAAATATTCTCCTAAATCGCACATTTCATTTAGTTCTAAGATGTCAGCTGCCACTTGCGGGCTGCAGATTTCCATTCTTACGATGCAGAGTGGGCATTTTCACCTCTATAAGCCTGTTCAGGGAGTGCATACCCCCTCCACAGATAGAGCCACAGCCAACCCAAGCCAGGAAGACTAAGAAGGTCTTGACAAGGTGGAGGAAAGAGAGAGACCTTTCTTAAAGAACATAAGAGCACAGAAATTGTGCTAAGAAGTACCCTTGTAGAAACTCCCCCAGCCTAGACCGCTCATCCTTTCCTTGAATACTTAGAGCACAAAGATGGACCCGAGGCCAAGAGAAAGAAGCCTGACCTGGGACAAGAGAAGAGAAAGGAGGCCCTGGGGGAGCACAGAGGAAGCCTGTCTTCTGCCCACCGAACAGGGACAGGAGCAAGCTCACCGGGACACTGGAAGGGAAAAGGAAGCGCTACTTGGACCACCTCTCCGTTCCACATACGCCTGACCGTCTAAGGATCAAACTTCCCCAGTAATGAGCGGCACCGTTCTCACAACTGGTGACGCATGACTCTACCAAGCGTCTGAGCCCCGCCTGTTGACCCAGAGACACCGCAAACATAACATGGGAAACGAAGCCCTTTTCCTCTTTCACTCCCCCACACACACACTGGCTGCTCCTCACCTGCACCACCTCCACCAATGGAACTGCCATCCCCCCTGCCTGCTAGGGTGAAATTGTGTACTCCCTAATTCTAATGTTGAAGTCCTAATTCCAGTGCCTCAGAATGTGACCCTATTTGGAGATAGAATCATTGCAGATAAAAAAAAAATAACTGAATGACTGAATAACTGGATGAGGTCATTCATGGGCCCTAATCCCATTCGACTGCTGTCCTTCCTTATGAGAAGGGGAAATTCTGACCCAGAGACGTGCGCACAGGGAGAACAGCACAGGACTCTAAAGGCAGAGACCAGGTGATGCATCTACCGGCCAAAGGACACAGAAGAGTGCCAGCAAACCACCAGAAGCTGCATGACAGACATGGCACAGATTCTCTCCACGGTCACCAGGAGGAACTGACCTTACAAACCTTGATCTCAGACTTCGAGCCTCCACACCTGTGTGAGACAACGCATTTCTGTTGTTCAGGCCCCCAGTTTGTGGGACTTCATATTGCAGCTCCAGCAAACTAATGCATCAGCCAAGGAAGACACACCCTCCATCTCTCGCCCCCACACCCAGGGATTGGGACACGCATCCACACACAACCCGCATCCAGTCACTAGCAACTTCCAGGGACACGCATATGACTAGCTATCCGTGGTGCTTTGCTTTGTTCTGCAGCCCTAGCAAAGTCACACACTGCCCAACGGAGACCATACTGTCCGCCGCCCCATGCTTATCCGGTGACTAGATCCCATCTGACTTCTACGTCCAGTCTCTACTCTGTTTCCATTGCCTCTGTAGTCATATTGGGTTTGGGGTAAGCTGTTAGCCTGATGTTAGGAGAAGACAGAAGGGGGCTTGATGGTCTAAGTGGAGCAAGGGAAGGTCCAAGCAGGTGCAAAAGACAGAACGTCTAAGACTGGGGGTGGTACCAGAGGTGGGGGAGGACATGGCAGGTAGAGGGCCAGGGAGCGCCCAGCCGTGGGAAAGGTAAACACCAGCTGGCTGCCCGGTGGCAGAATGCTGAGGCCACAGAGGCCGCGTCAAATGTCAGAGAGGTGGGGCTGGCTAGAGGCCTGGGCTCCCCTGGGCTCCGTGCCCCAGGAAGGGGACAAAGTGGGGCTGGGCTTTTGCCTGAGATGTGTTTTGGGGCCGAGGGCAGATCTGGGGGACAACTTTGCTCCTGGGTTTGCCGCCCGCACATTCCCGAGGCAGCAGCGGTGTGAGGCTGCAGAGGGTGTTTCTTTCCCCAGTGCAAACCAAACGGACAGGTTTGCTGATGGGGGTCCAGGTTCCAGTCCAAGAGCTGTGAGCCGAGCGGGCACTCGGCATTCCCAGCATCAGCTCCAGCTCTGCCTGTGGGTGGGAGACCTCACCGCGGATTCTGAACTTCAGCAGGAAGCACTGAAGGGCCTGGACTGCGCTGCCGCCGCCTTGGGCCTCAGAAGGACTCTGCGCCGCTGTGTTCGCCTCCCCCTCAGCCCCGTGGCCCTCAGTCTCTCCCCCGCATTCATCCCTTTCCCCTTCCTCCTCCTGCAGCCCCTGCCCACCTCCCTCTTCTCATCTACTGACCCCCACAGTCACCTTCTCCCCCATTGTCTCCTTCCCTCTTCGCATGCCCCTTCCCGCTGCCCAGTTAGTTCCCTGCTTCCCCTGCCTATTCCTCCCTCTCTCCCACCCCTTCTCCTCTCCTCTCCCCATTGCCCCCACCCCACACTCAGCTTTACTCCTTCCCCCACCTTTTGGCTGAGCCCCGCGTTTGCCTCCACTCTGCTCCTTTGCACTTAGTTTCCCCCTGCCAGTGCCTCCTCCCTCCCTCCTCCTCCCAGTCATCTTCGTCTCCTTCTCCCTCCCCTGCATCTTCCCACCCTCCCTCCCCACTTCCCTCCCCCCCCCTTCAGCCCCCCCACCTCCTGCTCCTCCCGCTCCTGCCCTTCCCAGTGTTTGCATTTCTCCCGGATCCACATGAAGGGGTTGCCGTGCCTCGGCTTGTGCCCGGCCCACTTCTGGCAGCTGGGGTCTGGCTTCATGGCTGACGGCTCCAGGACGCAGGCCCTGGGGAAAGGGCCCCCACTCAGCGTCCAGCTCCTGCGAGCCCAGTACCTGAGGCAGCAGCAGAGGGCCCAGGCCCACCTTGTGGTGCTCCCGAAAGGTAGGGCCAGGTTGGTGCTGGGAGCAGCCGTGGAGGGGAGGAGGGCCTGGCTGGGGGTGGACTGAATAGGGTGGCCGGGGGTCCCAGGGCACAGCCAGGGGAGAAGACTCCCCTGGTGGGGAGGAGCAGGAAGGCAGGTCCCCTGGAGTGGGAGCCAGAGCAGGGAGGCTGGCTTAGGGTAGCCCTGCTGGACTCAGTCAGTCCTCTGTCTACTGAGCCAGGGCCCTCTGCCAGGCATCTGGCCAGCAGCCTGCTGTTCCCTGGCCTCTGCTCTTCTGTTCCGATCTTGCTGGACTGGTTTGCCAGGTAAGCCAGGCCGGGCCCCCCTGCTCGGCCAGGTGGGGAGATGGGAGCGCTGCTTCCTGGCTGGGTCTCACCCAGGCACCTCCTGCAAACCCAAGAAACTGACTCGGGAGAGAGGAGACGTGGGTCCCTAACAGCCTGGGTCCTGGCCCGAGGCAGTGCCGGGCTCTGAAGCCTGCTCCTCACAGACTCAGACAGCAGCTGGGGAGGTGCGATGAGACACAGAGCCCCCTCTCTGAGGGGAGAAGCCTGTTCCTCTTGGGAACTCAGATTTCATTGCAGGAGGAAGTTGGGCACCCAGGGATCAGGAATCAAGTGATTGTCAAACCCCAGTCCTTCAACCTCTAAGAGAGGAACAGGTCAAGGGAGGTGGGACGGTCCCCTGAAAGGTCAAGGCTGTGCTGGGAATTTCTGTGGCTCTTTGTATAGTTCAGCACTCATTGAGAAACCCGCCCCACAGTAGGTCAGGCTGGAAAGAAATCAGGAGCCAGAGGGACCGCACCATCCCTAACAGGAAGTGTGCTGCCTTCTGGAGACAAAAGGGCCACTTCTGAGCTGACCACCTCCCACCACTTGGGCTGTTGCCAAGCAATGGGATCCATTTGAACCAACTGTCACAGCCAAATAACCCCCCCGCCCTGCATCTCTGCAGGCAGGCTGAAGCTGAAAGTTTCCTAAAGCCCTATCTCATCCTCAAGGTTGTTCATTCATTCATTCAGCAAACACCCATTAAATGAAACCACTATCCAACGAAAGCACCATTCCTAACATGCCTGCAATCCAGACTCATGAATCCATGCACCCAAGACAACTCAGACCTAACGTGCCCCATGGAATTCACCGTGCCCTTCCCCTACTCCTCCCAGCTGGCCCTTCCTCATGCATTCTATAACTCAGAGCTACCTACTCCAGAAAGAAATCAGGGTACATTTACAAAAATAAGGTGAAGATGTCGCTAGGGAGACAAAAAAGCAATCTTGCCTATCTCTGAGCAGCAGGGGAGATGGCGGTGCCGTTCATCGAGACAGAGAAGACAGAAGATGAAGACACTGGGGAGGGAGGGAGAAAGCTGTTTGTGAACATGCTGCATTGGAGACCATTGTCTGCAGGACTTCCAACCAGCCTGGACCTCGGGGAAAACACTGGGGCTGGAGAGAGAGATTTGTAGCTGAAGCTGTGAGCTTGGGTAAAGGTGTGGCAGGTCGATATGGAAACTGATAAGAGGCTAGGATGAGAATTAGAGTTCTGGAGTATCAACTACTTAAGAGACGAGCTGAGGAAGAGCAGCATGGAGCGACAGAGAGGAGGCAAAATGGTAGGACAGGAATATTATAGCCGTGAAAAGAAGGGAACTCGTTCACGGGCTGGGCCTTGGGTAACCACAGTTGAACTTTGAGAACATTACGCTAAGTGAAATAAGCCAGTCACGAGAAGACAAATACTGTGTCATCCCACCTCTGTGAAGTACCTGGAGTCGGCAGATTCATAGAGACAGAGAGTGAAGGGGTGGTTGCCAAGGGCGGGGAGGAGGGGGAGGCAGAGAGCTGTGGCTTTATGGGTCCAGAGTTCAGCTTGGGAAGACGAAACGAGTGCTGGAGACCAGCTGCATGGCAGCGTGAGTGTACTTAACACTACTGAGCTGTACCCTTAAAATCACTAAGGTGCTAACTAAGTCTTGTGTGTGTTTTACTACAATTAAATATTTTTTCATGGGTAGGAAACAACAGGAGGTATTCATGTCATGAAGCCAATTGCACAAAGGAAATTCAGGAGATGGTGACACTCTGTGTCCAGTGCGCAGACACCCTGGAGGATACAGTGGCCACTGAGATTGGCTCCGACTGGAACTAGATTCCAGTGTCTCAAGACATTGAGTTGTGTTTGGAAGGGCAGGTAGTCTGGGAGTTGATTCGTGGAATGAAGGGCCCTTGAATTAGCATTCTCCATCCGGTCTTAGCATTATGGATGGATCTAGATTCTAGACAGTTGGTTCTAAGGAGTGGCATCGCTGTACTGAGGCACAACGTAGGGGCACCGTGGAAGCCTGAGCCGGGCCTGGGAAGGCCCTGTGCCCCAGTGGCTGGCGTCCAAAAGGCATGCGCTTTTGTCACATGCAGCTAGTGTGGGACTCGTCTCATGGGGAAGGGACTGGGGATGAGGGCTCATGTCTGGGCTGGGTGGTTTACGCGCACATTTCATCGGACATTCTCAACAGCGCCAGCAGGCGGCTCCTCTGCAGATGTCCATTCCCTGGTCCTTCATCCAGTGGAAGGAGAAACCAAGGAGGAGCGCAAAACGCCTCTCCCCTAACCCCTATCTTCCCGCAAATTGAGCCAAGGATGGGGAATTAAGGAAGCAGCACGTTCTCCTCCTCCTCTGTTCACAAATTAAGCACAGAGCCTGTTGAATGAATATCTGTAAAGGTTTTCACGTTAGCGACACCAAGAGGACAGTCGAGCAGGAAGGAAGCAGGAACAAATCTGTCTCCCCACGGGAGTTAGTGCTTGCAGGACGGAGATGTGGCAAAGACCGCTGCACAGGTCCTCTGTGTCTCCTCGGGCTTCCTCTGACCCCATTCCTCCAACACTCTCCCTCCACTCCTGCCATATACGTTGTCACCTGCAGGGCCTCCTGCAGGTGACAAGTGCCAGAATGCTCAAGGGAGCTTCGCAGACATTTCAGAGGGCTCTCCAGGCTGGTCACAGGCCTACTTGCTATAAGAACGTGCCTTTTAGACATTCACTCCCACAGTCCTCGCTGCCACCCAGAGTGGACGGGAAACTATCATGTTGTATAGTGGTAAGAATACGGCCTTAAAGAAAGACTTTGGTCTGCATCCTCATCCCTGAAGCCCCTTCAGGGAAGCAGTGGGTGCTGCAAACGCGTTCCTAGAACAGAGTCAGGAGAAAGGAAAGATAACGGCCAGTCCTCCTCTGCCCTGGGTGGTAAACCCGTTCTCAGAATCATACGACACACAGACCCGTAAGTTGAGCCCTTTCCACTGGCGAGTGTACGTGAATCCTGACAGGTAGCCACATGTGTGCCTTCTCTCCTTGACATTCTCTCAGCCCGAGATGCTACTTCCTTTGCTCTTCCCAGGGGTCGCTCCCTCAACGCAGTAAAAAACGAAGGTCTATTATTCTGTTATGCTTGAGTTTTTTGCCATGGCATTGGTCACCCTCTGAAACTTGATTATATTCATTTGCTTATTGCTTTTCTACCCACTAGAATACATCATGAAGTTATGGGTTTTGTCTCCATGTTCACTGCTGCATTTCTGGGACCTAGAATAAATAATGCCTGGCACATAATAAGTGCTCAATAAATATGTGTTGCACGAATGAATGCTTGTGTACATGAGAGAGAGAGACAGCTTGCATGGGTGTGAGTATGTGAATGAGCAAGGCTGGGAGGGCGTGCACTTGTGTAAGCGTGTGTGAGTGGGATCACGTGTGTCCCCATATATATGCGTGCACACACATGCAATGTACCGAGTACCTGGCCTCTGTGCCATTTGGGGCATAGCCTTCATTAATGAGAGCTGCCCACGTACCTTCCAGCGGCGACCCTGCTTGTGCCTTTGCTTTCTCAGGAGGGAACACACCTGCTCCTGCTGAATCCATGGTCAGCGCCGTTTGGATCAACAAGGAGAGGAGGCACTCACCGTTCCTGGACCAGGTGGATCCTCAGGCGGTGGGGATGCAGGAGGAGGTGGGCGGAGCCTACCCACAGGTCCTCAGGGCTCCATGGCGCACACACCTACAGACGCATTGCTCGGTCCAAGCCTTCCACCAGGAGACCAGTCATCACATAAAACACAAGGGCAAGTTCACAGGGTCTGAGCAAAGGCTGCCGCAGCAAGGGGACCCAGGTTTGCTTGAAAACAAGCAGATGACTCAGCAAGAAACCACAATGCCAGAGGCAGCCCCCCAGCACCAGGGTCAAGTGGGCAAAACCCAAACGCAGGCATTGGGATCCAGCTTAAACAACGGCATCCGGTGTCCTTCCTCCATAAAGAACCTACACAGGTCAGGAACACCAGCTCACTATCCATTTCCCCAGAGGAAAACTCCCAGGATCTCCCAGGCTGCCCGCAACCTGGGCTTATATGGCCCAGCCTGATGCTTTTCCATGCAGCCAGATGTCCCCCCGACTTTGAAGCCATCTGCAGTCTCATCAAAGAACCCAGGAGCAGAGCCACAAGAGGGCCTCCAGCTGTGCACAGAACTGGACTAACTCCAGGGTAGGGGTTGTGGGAAATGAACTGCACGGTGGGCACAGGGTCTTGTCCTTCGGCAGAAGAGAGGCTGCCCGGACCAGACTGCTCACAGCTGCAGACGAAGGAGCGCTGTCTGACCAATGCAGCCCTGCTCTGCTTCAACAAGACGTTGCCATGGAGCCCCAGATGCCCGGTAGGACGCATGCTCAGTCCCTAGCACCGGGGAATTCTGGGAAATGAAACAGGGACCCCAGCCCCTGGACCGCCTTAGCAGTGCCCTGGAGTGTGGACGAATGTGGACAATCTTGTGTCCACTGCCTTCTGGTGATTTCTCACATGTCCTGGAGAAGATGAACTCTGAGAATTGCCTTTTTCTGGTTGCTCTGCCTGGAGGCCAGCGCAGTTAAAAGTCACTACGTTTACTGGTAGTGACCACACTGTTTCAGCTTCAGCATCCCACGGTATGGTCCCCCAGGAGAAAAGGGGGCAGAACAATGCCACCTGCCATTCCGGGTGTTTAAGGGGCCATTAGGAAGTGTTGGTCACCTCTCACCTCCCACTGAGATGCCCCCCCGCCCCCCGAATCACAGAGCTATTTCCCTCCGTCCTTCCTCCTTGCCTTCCTTCCTCCTTCCCTTCTTTCTACTTTTCTATTTGTCTGTCATCTCTCCCTCTTTTCCTCCCTCCCGCTCTCCTCTTTCTAAATTAAGTTCTTACTAACACTGCCCATCATTCAAGACCTATGGTCATGGGAGTCTGAGCCGAAGGAGCCAATGAAACGCTCCTGCTCAGAATACACGCGCTCCCCTCGCACTGTCCCCTTTGCTGCCACAGCTGGATCCCTGGGTTCCTTCCCCGGGTTTTTCACACCTGGGAGAAAAGGGAGCAGGTGTCACTTGGGCGAGACGGGGAATAGAGCATGTCTTTCCTGGTTAATATTCAACTTCAGCAATGATATTCAAACACACCTGAGGTGCCCTTTTCCCCTATGGATCCTCTCCCTGTAGTTTCCCCCACATCTTCTCCCCCCACGGCAGAGCCTTGCCTGCCCACATCCTGAGCTGTTAACTAGGATTGTCACTATCTGTCAAAAATACACGTGTGCTTGCTGCTTGGACCACCCAGAAACACTCCAGTTTGGATGGTCACTGTGATTCCTTTCATGAATAATTAATAGAGCCAGTTATTGATTTTTTAATAGTCTAATGAAAAACAAGAACATTTTCTGAAAAAAAATTGTGTCCTTTGATTTTATTTTAAAAAGGATTCCCACTCCCTGGCCAGATGGCTCAGTTGGTTGGAACATCGTCTTATACACCTAAAGGTTGATGGTTTGATTCCTAGTCAGGGTGTGTATGAGAGGTAACCAATTGGTTTCTCTTACATTGATGTTTCTCTCCCTCCCTCCCTCTCTCTCTCTCTCAAATCAATAAACACATACTCAGATGAGGATTTTTAAAAATTAAGAAAAAAGATTCCCACCACTAACCCTCCTTTCTGTAGTGTATCAATCAGATAGGCTGTGTTTTGCTGCAGTAACAAACAACCCCACATCTTACAACAGAAGCTTCTTTTTTTTGTCCCACTCATCAAAAGCCTGCTATAGATTTGGGCAAACTCCTAGGGCAGCTTTCCTGAATTTATTACCAACAATTCAGGCTGCTTCAATGTTGTGGCACCACCATATCAACACTGGTTTCCCTAATCACTGTAGCAGGAGAAGAAATGATGCGTCCATAGTCATGGACTGACTCTCATCAGTTTTACTCACAATTCATTGTCCAAAGCAAGGCACGTGTTCTTATCTCCACTCAAAGGGGATGAGAAAGTTCGATCACCCCATGCACCTGGAAGGAGCAAAGACATGGAAACACAGGTGAGCAGCACCAATGGCTAACACAGGTAGACAGGACCCAGGTCATGGTACAACACTGGATTTCATTCTAAACACAAAAAGTAGCCAGTAAGGGATTTACATGTGAGACTAAAATGATCTGATTTGCAGTTTAACCGGGTTACTCTGGTTCTATGGAGAATGAGTGGCGGGTCATGTTAGGAGGTGATGTCGGGGGGGAAAGGGCCATGGCAAGGTGAGTGGGAAAGATGCTGTCAGTTCGAGTGAGAGTGGAAGCAGGGGGTGCAGCAAAACGAATATATTTGATACATACTTTGGAGATAGAATCAATAGGGTTTCCTGAAGGAACATTAAGTTCAGTTTGAAGGATACTGCATTGGAGATACTCATGAGACACACAAATGATAGCAAATAGGCAAGTGGATAAATGGGACTAGAGTGCTGGGCTAGACATGAATTTAATTAAGTGTCACAAGTATGTGGAGATCCTCAAAACAATGAGAAAAATGAGCTCACGTATGCAGAGTGAAAAGAGAAGACAGGGTCCAGGGGGAGTCCTGAAAACTCCCCATTTATTTCACTGTAGTAATCTGAGAATTTTTCCAATTCTTACTTAGAGGAAGTGGGGTGGATCGAGGAGGAGGCAGCCAAGGACACTGAAGAGGAGTGAGTCACCAGGGGAAAGAAGAGCCAGGGGATGTGACGTCACAGACCCCGAGGGCACGTCATTGCACAGTTACTCCCCTCATTGCAAAATGTCCACAGACCCCCATTTTCTAGAGTCCACATTCTCCAGTCTGGAGTCGCTTTTCCTAGAGTGTGGTTTGAAGAGGCCAGAGTCCAAGAGGAAATTCCAGAGGTGGAGAAAACATTTCTGCCAAGGGCAGGCCAGGCCATTGTTAGCAAGTTCAGGTTCGAGCTGCTGAGAGTGCCTTTGCCCAAGAGGCCTGCCTTTCCCCAGGACTGGGTTATCCCCAGCCTGGGGTGGGCTGCGGATAGAAAGTTCCCTGTGGTGGAGGTAAGGCCAAGAAAGGCTGGTTTGCGGTCCTTCCACTCCTTTCCCTCAAGGCCGCTTCTGCCAGGCATTAGACAGGAACCATTTCTCTGTGTTGCAGTCACACACACTTTTACTAACGCTTAGGTTGTCAAACTTGTTGGGGCCAAGGGCTCAGATTACCTTTGGGCTGTCACTCTACCCAAGACCCGGATTTCCTCTCCGTGCTGGTCAGGACTGGAGCTAATTTTCTCTCCCCACACTCTCCTCGGTTCTAGCAGAAGATTATCCTAAAGTAGAGAACGACCAGCTCACATCGTAAATCCTCCATCAGGCAGGTTACAACTGTTGGAGGCGCCCAAGTCAGAGCCCACCAACCTTCACCACCCTGCATCCTGTCTGCCCACAGTAGGACGCCCCCGCGTGGCGGCCAGATTTGCTTCAACCTTCCTGGCCTTGGAGGCCAGTGCATCTGGGCTTGTCTCAGCACTGCCCTTGGTAGACAAGACCTTGGCTGAATCACTTGACTCTCAGAGTCACAGATTGCCCAGCTGTAGAATGAGGCGGTAACAGCCCTTGTGGGTTGAGGATGGGGATGGGAGGATTGTTCTCATTAGCTGTAGATTCTGTACCGCCCAGGCTAGGGGGCAGGCTCCCTTCACACCAGTTCAGCCTGGTGCCCTAATCGTCAGTCACTCCCTGTCATTAAAGCACCTTGATATCCATTCTTAGGACTTGCAAGTATACGAATTTGGAAGTCTATCTCATATTCAAGTCAGAGCCCACCAACTTGCCTCCCCATTACCACCCAGGACAGCCTGATTTATACCTTTAAGACCAGAGGAAGGGGCGTGGTCTTCTTGCTCCAACACCCCGCCCCCTTCTGTGCCCACAGCTTTTTGGCCTTGGGTAAAAGGACACGAGAGGGCACAGAGGGCTCTTTATGTGACTGGCTGTGTTGTACTTTGATCTCCTTCCCCTGGGCTGTTTACACTGACCTAGTTCACAGTCTGCAGGCTTGGTCTGGACAGGTGGTGGCCCCCACGGCTCCCGTGGATGAGGGAGGCCTCTAGCACTGGGGGGCCCTGTGAGAATGGCTATGCCTGCTCCTGCTGCGAACCCGTCCCCCCATTGCCTCAGAGGTTCACCTCTCTTTGCTAATTGCCCCAGTTTCATCTACCCACAGCTGCCCCCCAAATTCAAATCGGTTTATGCTCAAATAATTAAATGTCTTAGCACGCCTCAGTTTACCCTTTAATACTAGTATGTTAAACCACCTTCTTCTGAATCCTTCCTCCCCCTCACGGACTTCTACATAACCCTTCAAATGCAGGATGGGGAAAAAGTAGTGTTTAAACTGTTACAGCTGCTTGTATGAAAAATAATACAATAATTAATAACAGCACAAGCATAAACTCTGTCTCACGTCCTCACACCCGTAAACCTACTTTTGCCCCACCCTGTGTTTTTGAAATGAAACCACCACTGGTGAAATCGGTGCTTCTGTCTGGAGGCCAGAGGGGGTCGTGAGGTTTTCTAAGTGCTCGTGAACCACACAGAGGCTGCGGAATAAACCCGGCAAGCTGGGGGGCATAAAGCAGGCCTGACAAGCTCAGTGACCGAGAGGAACCGCACGGGACGGTCTGGTCATAAATTCCTAACTGGGGAGGTCACGCGGGAGTCTCGTCCCAGGTCTGGAGCTTCCATAGCTAAGGTCGGTCTTTACCTTAAGTGAGCCCTGCCCAAGATTCCTGCGCATCTAGGATGACACACCTGTGAAAGGTCGGAGGGTTTTTTTTTTCAGGCCCCTCAAAGGCACGACCCCCCAGCGCCAGAGCGGGAGACCGCAGAAGCCTTCACTGTTATACTGTCGCTCACATGCCATCTCTGTCTGAAAGGCAATGATAATGCTTAACTGTCCTCTGCCCACCAGTGTAAAGAAGTGTGTGTCTCGGTTTTACTTTTTACCCAGTCCTAGAGATGAACCTGCTTTGCTCTCTGCCACCTGCTCCATCGGCTGCGAAAGGACTTCACGTGTCTTCCCTACACTCCCTCCTCTGATTCTAATGCACACAGTGCCGCCAGGCTGCTGTTCTCCAGAGCGTTTTCTCAGTCCGTTCTGGGCACGTCCTCAAAGTTCTGGCTCCAGTAAACTCTCACTGAACTTTCCTACAGGGCGGACATGCTCCCTAAAACCAGACCCTTTCCCAGCTTCGAGGCATCGACTGCCCCTGCCCTGCACAAACATTCCCTTAGGTCACTTCCTCCTCGTTGACAAAGACCCAATTCACCTGCTTTCAACAATTTCCATCAGCACCTCATTTTCTGAACTTTTTTTTCCTGCTGTGATCGTGTTTCTCCCACAGATAATAAACAATAGGCTTCCTAGAAACAATGTTCAAAGCACTGAACTTTTCAAGTTAGTTTTATTTCTTGGGTTGGTGACAATTACATTGTTTGCTCCTCCATTTCCACCCAGGAAAACAATACGCCCACTATGTACTATTAATCCTTTGATCTCCACTTTGTCTGTTTGTTGATAAATCCACAATGGGGCTATATTTGAATTCACTCCACAAATTCCCTCAATCCAGGAGCATAATCAAGGCTTGGTACCCTGCCAAGCCTTCAGCCCTGGCTGAGAAATAGGAGGGGGAGGGGGAGGAAAAACTTATGGCGGCACACACTGCATCTTCCACACCCCAACTCTGCGTGTTCTTACAGGGACCCTGAGCCGGCCCTCAAGGTCACTATCAGGCCCGGACCCAGGTTAGAAAGTATTCTCCCAGTGCAAGTGCTGCGCCCCTTCACGGGCAATGCCGGTGCTCTCGAGGTTGGAGGGGACCAGGAGAGCCTGTCCCTGCCCCTGCCAGTCTCAGATTCCACTGGCTTGATTCTTCCTCAACCCCAGAGCCTTGCTTTCCTTTCAAGGAGACTTGAACAAGTGTTTGCTGGGCGAAACCCTGGGGGCATTACAGGGGCCAATCTTCGCCCCCTAGCCTTAGGTGTACACCAAGGTTGACCCCGCCCTCTAAGGCAGGCTTTGCCGCCTGGGCTGCACACAAGAATCATCAGGAAGCTTGGAGAATATTCAGTTAAGTGACAGTCTCGGGAGTAGGGTCCCCGTATTGATCGTCCATGTTTTTTTATTTAATCGACGTGAAATAACATAAAGTGTGGGAAGTGCACTGATCTTCTATATAGCTCAAAATTTATTTTCATGTACACAGAATACTTATTTTCACGGAGATACTCATGCACTTGTGTGATTAGACGAGAGACATTTCCAGCATTCTAGCAAGTTCCCTTCAGCCTCTTCTCAGTAACCAACCACGTCTCCATTGTCTTGTTTCCAT